GTGAAAGTCCATCCATCCATCCATCCATTTTCTTCCGCTTCATCCGTTGCCGGGTCGCGGGGGCAGCAAAAGTCAATTTTAAGATATGTTTTTTCATATTCTCGTCTTTTTCATTTTTACATACATATTACATTGGTCTAATGTGTGCCTAAAAAGCCAATCACTGCTTTGTTTGTACATTTCAGTAAATATTAAGCCTTTTTGGATGTGTTCTTTCTGTGTTATTTGAATTGGATTTGTAATGTTATTATACTGTATGTTGGTGCATGTTTTGCAAAGATGTGTGAAGCACTTTACAAATAAAAAGCTTCTGTTTAGATCTACACTGTCTCTATCTATAGATGCCCTGGCAGCAAAACATTACAGATCATTTTGTGTAAAAATAATTGGTTTTAAAGATATTGTGACAATATCGTTATCGGGAGATAAATCGAGATATTTAATTTTGTTCGTATCGCCCACCCTTACTCACATGTTTCGTATAGTTCACCTGTTTACAGTTGTGTATGTATTTATGCATTTATGAACTTGTGTTTGCTTTTGCTGAGTAAGAATTTTGTGGTATAGACAGATGGGTGTGTCTCTTTTATGAGAAGAATAGGTTTTAAAATACAAAAACAACAACAGATCTAGTGTATGAGGAGGAACAAAATCCATGTTTTCAGCAAAGGTATATTTATCCTGCTGTGAGTCCTGGCCCTACTGGGAGGATAAAGCCTGTAGAATATAATGTACCATCATAAGGGATACCGGCGCACCAGGAGGAAACCTATGCAGACACAGGGAGAACATGCAAACCTCATGCATAAAGACCCTGCGCAGCTTGGGAGTCGAATCTCAGACTTTTAATTAAGCTTATTTGATTTTTGGATATGTTCAAACGCCCTTAATGTAAAATCTATTCCTTTTCTGATCCGTTCAGTAAAGTCGGGCGCTTTACGTTTCACCGCCCCCACACTTGGGCAGCCCGGTGAGCGGCGGGTTTGTTCGTTGCAGGTGCCACGGTGCGACCCCAGCCATTAAAAGCTTTGAAAACGTGATTAAAGGGGAAAGAATCGCAGCCTCCTCTGACCTGCCGCTGACTGACGGAGTGATTACTGCAGTTCTGTCACACCCCGTTCACATGTAATCAACACATGTTCATTAGCATGTCACCTGCACTGTCACATGGTTAAAGTGTTTTAAATGACATTGTATAGTATCTAGGCCAGTGTTTTTCAACCACTGTGCCATGGCCCAGAAGTGTGCCTTGAGATTTTGTCTGGAGTGCCTTTGAAAAACATACAAATGTACCTTAATGCAGTTTGGGAATTAGTTAGCTACAGTACACTAAGTGGTCTGGCCTTGAGTAGGTCACAACGCCCCGATTGTGTATCACTGCAAAAAATTATCAAATGTGAAATAGTAATTGCTTGAATCGAGTTGTTTTTTATCTTGATTTAAAGTAGTACTAGGATTTAATATGCTGCTATCCAGAATATATAACTACAATATGTGTTTGTAGGGGCGACAGTAGCTCAGTTGGTAGAGCATTGGCCTTTGGGCCTGGAGGTCGTAAGTTCGATTCCCACCATGGGACCTACTCCAACTGCTCCCACTGATGACTGCTGTCGTTGTGTCCTTGGGCAAGACACTTAACCCCACATTGCCTGAAGCCCCCCGCTGAAAGATCAAGGCTGTTTCACACTCTGACGGAGCAGCCATCTTCCTGTGGACTCACCCCCTGCAGTAGATCAGCGAGGGACTGGTGCTATGAGCGTTGGGGGGCAGCTCTCATTGCCACCCCCCCGACCCAGAAATGTACAAAGGGGTTGAAAATGAAATGAAATTAAATGTGTTTATAATATTTCGGGTGTTCATTTTGATATGTTCAGATGAATTATGTTAAAAAAACAGCTTTGAAGTCGGACCTTTTCACAAACGCTAGGGGGCGCCAAAATGGCGGCGATGACGTAGGAGAATGACCTCTCACAGCAGCAGCAGCAGTCTGGGCTGAATCTGTAGGAGGTTTCACTGTCATCTGAACAAGGTATAAACATATTTTCATCCGTTTTGTACATAATAGTGTGCAACTCTTTTAACCTTTTAGCCTTATTTGTGAGATTCAAGCAAACTAGTGTTGGGCAAGTTAGCTAACTCTACTTGATATCATAAAACATGCTAACAAGGCTAATATTTGTTTTTTTACATTCTCACTGCCTTAGATTTATTTACCACAATGTACATTAAATATCCATATGCTAATCAAAATAACTTTAATTAAATAAATATTTTACTTTTATGAACAAAAGCTGCAGAAGTTGAAAACATAGACTACATGTGTCATTGATAAAAATGCTAATTAAACCGTTAATAGGTGTTAGCATTTATGGATATTACAATGTACATTGTGGTGAGACTGGCATAATGTAAAAACGAATATTAGCCTTGTTAGCATGTTTTATGATATCAAGTAGAGTTAGCTAACTTGCCCAACACTAATTAGCTTGAATCTCACAAATAAGGCTAAAAGGTTAAAAGAGTTGCACACTATTATGTACAAAACGGATGAAAAATATGTTTATACCTTGTTCAGATGACAGTGAAACCTCCTACAGATTCAGCCCAGACTGCTGCTGCTGCTGTGAGAGGTCCTTCTCCTACGTCATCGCCGCCATTTTGGCGCCCCCTAGCGTTTGTTATAAGCTGCCACTTCAAAGCCGTTTTTTTAACATAATTCATCTGAACAGGTCAAAATGAACATCCGAAATATTATAAACACATATTGTAGTTATATATTCTGGATAGCAGCATATTAAATTCTAGTACTACTTTAAGTTCATTCTGACAATTTGCCAATGAGACAAGCAATTTGACTTGATTCAAGAACTATTGCTTCATTTTCTCATTCCAAGAGAGAAATGTCTTGTATCTTTTTAAAACAAAATAATTTTTTTTGTTCCACTGGCAAATTTTGTTTTAAGGCAGTCAAAATGTGCTCAAATTTAGATACATTTAGCCAAATTTGAGATTTTTTTTGTCTTTAATTTCATAATTTTTTGCAGTCTATAATTGTGTGTCCATTATGTTCTTTCAATTGTTATTTTCTGATTGTCTTGATGTGACACTTTTGTTTTCCCGTGTGTGACGTATGTGTGACGTAAACGTGTGACTTTATAAACCATATCCTGATTATGTTCTGTCTGAAAAAACCTGAAGAAACTGAAACTTGAAGGAAACTGAATACACTTCCAGCGAGCTCTGGTGCGCAAAGATTCCGTTTCTGTGTGGTTGATTTTCCACAAATGGTTACAAAAAAAAGTAAACTATTGGAAGAAAATAATGTGAGAAGAAATCATAAATATGTTTTTTTCTCTGTGTATGTTTGGTATGATTGTGAAGTTTGATTTTTGCGACAAAAAATGGTGTGTCACATGATTTCTTTCAATAGAAAAGGTGCGTCACGCCTCAAAAAGGTTGGGGACCACTGATTTAGACAATGCATGCATGTGCTTATATTACCACCATAAGTTTGTATGTTACTGGACAAAGCTGGATCCTATAATGTCGATTTTCTTGCTCACGGACAATAACACGTTTTCTATTCCCAGTCATGTACACATCCTCATTATTGGACCTAATGCAATCTTTGTCTTGAGTCTTTCCAAATTGTATTATGCTGGTGTGGTTGGACTTTGGCTCGGGTAAAACTACTGTAGTCAGACTTTGGGCAAAATGACTAAAAGCTGCAATTATTCTGTCTATTGTGTTTTCTCTCAAACATTATTCTGACTTTACTGAAAATAATAAACCTGTATGTGTTTGAAGGAGTACTAAGAAAACTGTATTTCAAGCCTTATTAAAAATGTGGATAAACCAAATTTCTCTCAAATGTGATTTTTTGGATGATTCACTGAAAATTACTCTGTTGCTTCAGTCCATTTCCTGTTTTAATGTTTGAAAGATTGTAAAGGCCACGTAATCAAGTTTGTATAACTGAGTCTACCTTTCATCACAGCTAATATCTATCTTCAGGCCATATTTTCTCTGAGCATGGATGAGTTTGCACCTCCTGCCTTTGTACAGTGTGAATGTAACAATGTAAAATGTCTTTTTAAATGTGTGAAAAGCCCTTCTCAGGACGGACATTGTGAATTAGCCTTGACTTTGAAGTACACACAATTCTTTCACCTCTGCCACACGCACAATGGTAATGTGTCAGTACTAGAGAAAGACTTTCATTTTAAAAGAATCTCAGACAGGACACCTCACTGTTTCATTAAGCCTTTACAATAGCGACTGTGATCCAGAGGACTTTTCGTTTAGCAGGTGCAAATGTTCATTGATCTGAGCCAAGGCTAAAGTAAAGTGTGTAGCAGCAGAATGTGTCGGCGGCTAACAGCTTGAAGAGGAATTATAATTAAAACAACACTGCCACAGGTTTAAATTATCCATAGCTGAGTGGTTGGTCCTGGAGTTAATTTAATTGACCATTTACTTCCGCACTTCAATCCGTCGTAAGCATTTTTAAGTCTGTCACACACTTGAAAACAATGTACCTAAAGGGAAAAGCTAATATGGATAACCTTGTTGGTAACATTTCATAATTTTTGATGATGAGCAACGTGAAAGAATGGACAGTGTGGTGTGTACAGAGAAAATGAAAGAAAATAAATTTATCCTAATATTGAATTATGAGCAATAAATATCACATAAACCAGATATTCATGTTAGAATGAACTGTAGGAAAATAGTTAGCAACATGTTTACAGTCCATGTTCCCATCCTCACCCACCCTGTGTGTGTGCTTTGGGGAACAGCTGAAAGTACAAGATCGGTGTGTGTCTAGATTGTCCCTTAGAGATCGGGAGAGGAGCTTGGAGTAGAGTCACTGCTCATTTATGTCAAGAGAACCCAGCTGCAGCAAGTGTACATGGAAAGGTAAATCTGGCATCTCAGACGGCTACCTCCACGGCCCGGCAATGGGTAAAGCGGAAGACAATTGTGCGGGTGGTCTACAGTCAATTAATCCTCAAGCAAGAGAAGAGAAGAGAAGAGAAGAGAAGAGAGAGGAGAGGAGAGGAGAGGAGAGAGGAGGGGAGGGGAGGGGAGGGGAGGGGAGGGGAGGGGAGGGGAGGGGAGAGGAGAGGAGAGGAGGGGAGAGGGGAGAGGAGAGGAGAGGAGAGGAGAGGAGAGGGGAGAGGAGGGGAGAGGAGAGGAGAGGGGAGAGGAGGAGAGGAGGAGGAGAGGAGAGGAGAGGGGAGGAGGGGAGAGGAGGAGGAGAGGAGAGGAGAGGGGAGAGGAGAGGAGAGGAGAGGAGGAGAGGGGAGGAGGAGAGGAGAGGAGAGGAGAGGAGAGGAGAGAGGAGGGGAGAGAGAGGAGAGGAGGGGAGAGGGGAGGAGGGGGAGAGGAGAGGAGGAGAGGAGAGGAGAGGAGAGGAGAGGGGAGAGAGGGAGAGGAGAGGAGAGGAGAGGGGAGAGGAGGAGAGGAGGAGGAGAGGAGAGGAGAGGGGAGAGGAGGGGAGAGGGAGGAGGAGGAGAGGAGAGGGGGCGGCTCTTTCTGCTTCTCGTCTCTCGTCTTGTCGGTCGGGGCTTGGTCGTGTGTCTGGGTCGTGCCTGCTCTTCGCCGCGCGGCGCGTTCGCTGCGTTGCCGTCGGTCGCGCTCTGCGTCTCTTCTCGGCGCCGTTGCTGAGGCTGCTCTTCGTCTCTTCGGCCGTCTTCTACGCTTCTCGTGCTCTCTCTTTTCCCGTCTCGTCCGGGGCGCGTCTTGGCTCTTCTTCCTGCTGATGCGCTCGCTCGGCCTGTGCTCGGTACCTTCTCGTCGCTATCTTCGCTTGTCTTCTTCTCGGGCGTCCGTCTCTTCTTTCTCATTGTCCTCGTCTCGGCTTCTTCTTCGCTTTTCGTTCTTCTCTTCTCGCTCGTCTTTTCTTTCTTCTTCGGTTCTTCTCTCACTTCGCTTCGCTCTCGTATGTGCTTTCGGTTCCTGGCTGGGCGGTTCTCTCTCTTCTCGTCTTGCCTTTGCTGTTCTTCTCGGTTCTTTGTCTCGGCCTGTCTCTCTCTTCTCTTTATGCTCTTCATGGCCCTTCTGCTCTTCGCTTATCTCTCAGTCTCTTCTTCTGCTCTGTCGCTGCTCGGGCCTCTCGTCGCCGGGGCCTGCTTTGCTCGGCTGCCGTGATTCGCGCTCTTACTCGAGCGGTCGCATGTCCCTTCTCTTCTCTGCTATCGTGTCTCTTCTCTTTTCTTCTCGGCGCTTCGGCTCTTTCTTCTTCTCGTCTCTGCTTCTCTGTGCTTAGGCCGGCTCGATCCTCTGCTTTTCCTTTTCTTTCTTTTTTCCGTCTCTTTTCTTGTGCTCGGCTGGCGCTGCTGTCTGAGCTGTCTCGCGCGGGGCTCGCTCTTCTTCTCTGCTCTTTGTCTTACTTCTCTTTTCATCTCGGCTCTTTGCGAGCTGCTCGTACGCTTCTATCTTTTCTGCGTCTCTGTTGGTCGGCCGGGTCTTACTTATCTTCTTCGCTTCTCTTCTCTTCTGACTTTTCTTGTCGTTCGTCGCGGTTCGTGCTATTTCTTCTTTTCGTTGCTTCCTCTTCTCTTTCGTTTCTTTCTCTTCTTCTCTTGTCACTGCTGCTCTGCTCTTCTCTGGCCGCGGTGAGCCTTCTGCTCGCTTCTCTGCGCGTGCCGGCCCTGTCTTCTTCTCTTCTCGCTTTCTCTTCTCTTCTCCTTTCCTCTTCCGTTTCTTCTTCGCTTTGTCTTCTTTGCTCATCTTGCTCTTCTCGTCTGCTCGTCGCTTCGCGCTCGGCGTCTCCGTTCTGGCCCTGCTTCGTTTCTTTCTGTTCTTCTCTTCTCTTTTCTCTTCTTTTCGCTCGTCGGCTCTTCCTCTCTTTTCTCTTCCCTGAGCTGGCGCGGCTTTCTCTGTTTTCTTCTTCTTCTTCCTCTCTCTTCTCCTCTTCTTCTTCTCTTTTGTCTTCGTTGCCAGCTTCGCTGAGGGCGTCTGCCGTCTCGCCTCTTCGTCTCGGCGCTTCCCCATTAGGCTTCTCTTCTCGTGCGCTTCGCATCTCTTCTCTTCTTGTTCTTTTCTGGCTTCGGCTCGTCCTTCTCGCTCTTCGCTGCGCTTTTCTCTTCCATCTCTGTATCTTATTCTCTTTCTCGCTTCGCTTCTGTCGCGTTGCTCTCTTACTCGTGCGAGCTCTTGTAGTCTTCCCTTCCTTCTTCTCGCCCTCTCCGCTCGGTCTCTGCCGTCTCCTTCTTCGCTCCTCTCCTCTGCTGCTCCTCGCTCTTCTCCTGCTCTTCCTTCGCTTCGTCTCTTCGCTTCTCGTCTCTTCGCGTTTCTCGTCTCTTGCGCTTCTTTCTTCTTCTTCGGGGCGCGGTGGCTCATTCGTCCGTTTCGTATTCTCATTGCTGTCTCTTGCGTCTCTGCGCACCCTTCTCTTCCTTCTCTCCGCTCCGCTCGTGCGTCCGTCGTCCACCTTGCCGTCTCTTCTCGGCTCTTCTCTTCGCATCTCTGCTCTGCGCGTCCTTGCATTCGCTCCTCGCCCGCTCTCCCTCTGCTCGGATCTGTCTCTAGCTGCTCGGCGCGGCGCGCCTCGCATGCTCTCGCAGCCTCGGTCGCGCTACCCGCTTCTCCGCCCCTCAGTCACTCATCCTCACCCCTCCCATCCCACCTGCCGGCTCCCCACTTACTTATAACCTCACGTCGACGCCTGTATGGCCAGATTCTTACCTGCTTTGTCTGTACCTTGTAGAGGATTTGAAGTGCTGACCATGTTTGGGTGAGGGACGCCGCAGGTTTGAAGGATCCGGGTCTGAGAGATACTGGCCGAGAGCATCTCCTGAGCTGTTCCAACAGAGAGAGGTAATAAAGAGTCATTATAGAGATCAGACTGCTGTCGTTAGACCACACTCCTGCCTCACCGGTCATCATGCCATAGGTCTGCTGGTTGCCGTAGTGACAGGGGGCGACTGGGTAATGGAGGCTCGAAGGTGCGTTTCCCAGGGGCGTGGTGGAGAGGTGCATGTGCGAGCGTTTGGACTGACCCAGGGACAGTCCAGAGGAGACTGAAGAGGAAACATAATGCCGGGTTATCCATCTTACCCCATACAGAAAGCAAATATAATACAGTAATGAAACAGGATATTTTTCTAGTTCTACGACTCTTTAAGGACTATCACTGCATGCATTTTTACCCCGTGTACTAGATACTAATGTGGGCATAAAAATGCTTATACAAAGAAAGAAAAATGTGGCAATTCTTGATAAAAGTGAAACTACACCAGAAGAAAACTGTATGGCCCCATATGATTAAGTATTCAAATACTCAAGTATTATCAGATTCAGATTCATTTATTTGCCATTTGCAGTAAAACCACATTGGAATACATTAGCAAAAGTTCACAGTGTGCACAAGACAAGTACATACATAAAACAACATTAAAAGTGCAGAAATAAAACAAATAAAACAGTAAACAATTGCCACTGTGAAATCAATTTAGCTAAAACAGTTTAATACAAAGCCACGACTATTAAAGTGCTCCGTTCAAACTGATAACAGCTCGTGGGAAGAAGCTGTTAGCATGTTAGCATGTTAGCATATCGAGGTGTCCTGCATCTCAGAGAACGATATCTTCTACCAGAGGGAAGAAGCTGGAACATGGCTTTTCCAGGGGCCAGAAGAGTCATTGTGATTATAACTTCTCTTCTATCTTCTATCTTGAGTTAAAAATGAAATGGAAGTTTTTTGTGCAATAAAGAGAATTTATGAATATTTACCTGTAATATTAACATTGGTTTAGTATATATAGTGTAAATTCTGAATCACTATCAAGGTTGAATACTTTAGTATCAAGACAAACATGACAGGAATGAGCAGCTGAACAGAACTAATTTATTTAGTATTAATTTGAAATCAATTAATGAAATGTAATCAAATTCTCAATGTTAATAAGTGCACAGTGTAATGAGCAGTCTGCTGGGTTGCTATAGCGATGGAATTTCCATATTCAGACTGCTCTCTGACCAACGAGGGCGAGTGCAGGAGGATCGTCTGTATGATAACAGTATTTCTTCATAATGCAGGAATTGTCATCGCCTTTAGTCTTTTTTGAACATTGAGTGTGCATAATTATTACATAGATCTCTGTGTTTAAAATATCCAATGTCTTTGCTTGATCACAAAACAAAAATGTACTAATAAATCTTATTTGGGTATCATGTGAATGTAGCTAAACATAGATCGCAGAATATATTAATAATACTGCAATGGTTTTATATTGCACTTTTTCAAACAATACAATGCAATACATTTCATTCTTCTTTAGCCCTAAATCACAACAGCATCATCTCAGAGACTTAACAAAACCATTGAAAACACCAACACAGATCAGAAAATCAACAGTTAAGAGAACCATAGTAGTATGGATCAATTGTCCACACTAACTCTCCAACAGACCCTCCTGCATCGGCAAGGAAAAACTCATAAGAAAGTGAAAAACGTCGGGTAGACCCACATATTGAGAGAGGGATCGGCTCCACACGGACAGGCGGGCTATAGATCCAGGACCTAAACACGCTTCACATGGCATTGTTCATTCACTTTATACAGAGGCGGTAAACTACTGCACTTCTGTCAGATCCTACTGTACCCACAGCTGCCCCTGGGACAGACTGACAGAAGTGAGGACACCAGTATGTGCTATAGGCCACTTTGACCATCACCCATCTTTCACACACACTCCTAGGCATTCACTCTAGGCATTGTGGGTGAAGTGTCTTGCCTAAGGACACAGCAGCATATCTTTGCAGTCTCAGTCGCCCCACTGTGGCACCTGATGTGGCACCTGATGTCTCTCAGAGGTCTCACTTCACAGTACTAACCAGGCCCTGCCCTGCTTAGCTTCTGGGATCTGACAGGATTGGGCTTTCGTATGCAGGTGGCACCACAGTCATTTTCTTCATCTGATGAGGCGTATCTAATGTATATGCCATTTCATTTGTTTTAAAGTCCATAGGATTTTTTAACAAAGTTGAAGATTTTTCTAGTTGAGAATATTTTTACATTTTGACCTAACATCTCACCTGGCTACAATCACAAAGAACACATTTACAGACTCTACCATAAATCAGAAATCCGTATTACCATAAACACTGTATATACCAGTCCATATATTTCAATCTCTTTTGTCAGCACTAAAGAAAACGTTGGAGGGACGGCGTTTATGCAAATGTTATATAATGTATGTGTTTATTATAGGAACCCTTTCTGCAGCTGAAGTGACAGCTCAGACCCGCATCCACAGAGGTGATTATAACGTGGATTTAAATACCACCATTTTCTTAATCCTGGCACCGCAACGCTTTACAATCACAACAGAGCTCACACACAGGCTGTGGGCTGTGCATGGTCAAAGCTGAGTAAACACGCAGATTCTATGTATATTTATTTGACATACATGGTGCGGCTGATGGATGCATTAATGGAAGCCAATTAGTGCTGAAAGATGAAGGACCCGGCTTCGGCTTTTACCATTTAAAACTTGGGCTGAGTGCCTGCTCCTGCCTTCACAGCGTCTATTTTTACCTCAACATTTCTTTCATGTATTTAATGTATTAAGAGAAGGTTCATTTGAGACACAATCACGTTTCATACAGGGCATTTGGAAAGACGCGCTTAATGTGAATGACCCAAGAAACCACAATTTTACTTTTCTGTTTCCAATGATGCAGCCTTGTATCAGCTCGGACGCAACGTTTTACCAGTCGGAGGAATATGTTTATGCTAAATACCAGGGAGAAGCAAAGTGGGAGTGACTTATTTGCCGTTAATCACCAAGGTCTAGTTTCTATTGAGATGTATAGAATACGAAAAATATATATGCCCCATTTCCCATCACTCTAAAACCCAGTAGCTTAACTGAGGTAGCTGCAGTATACAGATGAAATTAGAATATCTAGGCTGACTGAGTGGATAGAACACACACTTCTCAGCAAGAACGTCATGGGTTCGAATCCCGGTTCGAAACAGGGCCTTTCTGAGTGGAGTTTTTATGTTCTCTCTGTGTCTGTCTAGGTTTCCTCTGGGTGTTCCAGTTTCCCCTACCACTAAAAACATGTTTAATATGTCTGGTTTGCGCCTCCTGTGCTGACGACCTGCTCCCATCTCTGTGTGGAGTGAGAGACAAAGGCCCACGATTGTAAAGTGCTTTGTGACTCTGGTCTGGGGAAGTCGTATAAAAAATAAAATTACTTGTTCATTTACAATATCTTTTAAAAGTCGTTTTATTCAACTTAAAATGTGAGAGCAATTAATGATGTAGATATAGTATTCTAATTTTCTGATACATTATTTATAATTTTACAAGCTATGAGTAAGTTATCAATGTTAAAACCAAATAGCCTGCCACGTATGAGTTTCACATTGCAAATTAAATTACAAAAGAAAATTGACTTTTGAAGAATATTCTAATTCCCCCATTCCCACCTGTACATTCCAAAGATAGGATTTTAATTTTCCATAACTACACACTCTTCTTTTCAGCTCCAATTTGGGCGTTCTGCTCTCCCAAAATTTCATCCACTGAGCGGCGCTGTGATCAAAAAATGACACCGTTTGTTGCCCAGTTCACTTCCGGTTGATTTCATACAATGGCGAATATGGCTCACGAAAACAACAAACGATTGACAGTGCCTGAATTGCGTGAAAGGTTGAAGCGAAAGGGTATTTGCAGTGTGGGAAAACGAAAGGAGGAATTGTTGTTGCTAGTTCAACGAGCGGATGGTGTTTATGAAGATTTAGAAGAAGATGACAGCGAGCAGAGTGAACGAAAACGGCTGTGTGTGCGAGTGACAGATGGTAACAATGAGAATGAAGTTCAGCTAAGAGGGAAGAATGTGAATTGGACGGATGATTTGCGCGATATGCCACTAGTTAGAGACGGGAATGTATTTGCATACAGAAAATGACGAAAACACTCAACCATTTAGAGAAAATGCGCCGGGCAGAGAGAACCGGAAGTTGCGAAGGCAAGTGTTACCCATAATGCAACGCAAAATTCAGTCGCTCCCCCGCCCATCGGATGGAATTTTGGGAGAGCAGAACGTCCGAATTACATAAATGCATGACACTTTTCGGCACTTACCCGTCAGCATGTGCCACGCAGTCTCACAATAGGATATTATTCGGTCTAAAACTATTTCAGGACACCCTTATAGGTTCTTGAAGCCGCTCCTTGTTCCCCAGTGTATTCTAAGCTGTAACAATAGCACAGGCCCAGGAAGTTTTACCCATAATGCCTGGTGATGAGAGCTTTAATTATCCACTTCTCCTTCAGTGCTGAGCCAAAGCAGCTGATTACATGCATTTACATAATAAGATTTGCATTGGAATAAATGTAACTGTGAATCACTCGAGCAAATGCCATTTACCGCTCACAAGTTCTCAAGCAGCGGAATCATGACGAGAGCCGAAACAATGGATGGATTCATCGCAAATAATCGCAAAGAATGTTTTCAATATTTGACTATTTTAGTGATATTTCTAATGTTATGATTCAGTGATAACTGGTTTACTGCTCTATTTTTAGACTTCAACGCATTTAAGTGCTGTTTGATGTGATTTTAAACTCAAGCAGAGCAGAAATGGCAAAAGAATAAGACAAAATATTTTTTTTCAGTGAATATTATCTATGAGTTATCAAATTAGAAGTTATTTCAGCCCTGGACAAGATTGTACTGACTGCTTCTCAGATCACATCCTCTGTCAAACTGATATTTTCATCAATGGGTTTATGTAATGGACATTTTCGGTATTTAGAGCAGATTCCTACAAGAAACAGGTAAATGACAAACAATCACCAATAATACATGAAAATAGACCAAGCTTGTTTAATGTTAAAGTTCGCAATTAAATGAAGAAATGTTGAGGTTTTGTTTTTTTGTGACAATTTGCTTTTGTTGAAACGGCAGTAGGTTTAGGGTTTAGTTTCTTATGTTTATACTGTGTCCTTTTGTCTACTCATCATTTACATTCCTGCTCTGAAATACTTGCTTTACCATTTTAACCAGGCCAGTACAAGCAGAGTTTAGTTCATACAGATCAGGCCTCTAATTCCTCTTTTTTCCTCATATATAAGATTGATAAAAGTGTGAATAACCATAATGCAACTACAATAAATTGAAAGAAATCTGGACACAAAAAGCTATTACCATTTTCAACATGGCTTGGGGGAAAATAGCCAAAAATCGGTTTAAAGAGAAAGAACATTCGCAAAATCACCTCATACAAAAGTTTCAAGAAAAAAACCATCCAGGACAAGATAAAGGCATTTTGAATAGACAAAAAAGTGGATTTTGCACCAATCGTCAATGGTATTCTTAGATAAGAATAGAGCCTAAGAAAAGGCTTCCTTCCCGACAAAATGGATAAAAATAGTGATAACATGGTATTCTCAAATGATGTGAATATCGAAGAAAAAGTAAAGTCAGTCCCAAAACTTGGTTAAGCACAGAAAATATTCAATAAATGAGTCATGCCTTTTGTTAATAATCTCTCGTGCACATCCCACTTTCCATCAATAACTGCCTGTTTAGCCAAAAGCCGAGCCCAGAAGTGTTTGTTATTGCAGCAGTGTTGTTCTTGTTTACCTGCAGACACCATGGAGTGGGTGTGAGCGCCGGTGGACAGGCAGTCACTGGTGGACGCGTGGTGCATCAGGATCGGCAACTCCGGAGCTAGCGAACTGAAGGAATCGGCACCGAACGGCTGACACGCCATCTCTGCCTGCTTTTTCCCCCACCTCCCCAGACGCTTCCCTCCCCGGGCCGAATACACTATGTGCCAAGCTTTAACAGTGCTTCAATTTTTTTGATTGGTCGCTTCTCATTCTATTTTGATTCTCTCCTGAGTAATCCCAAAATGTGGCCTAATCTAGACCCTCATCTATCTATTCTACTTTGCCCTTTTCCTGGTCTGTTTTTGTCCTTTTGCCTCAGTCAAGCTTCACCGGCGCGTAGCTTCTGGGGAATTTGAAGGTAGAAAGTGCGATAGGTTACCCACTTTTTTTGGGATTTTTCGGTAATAAAATGTATGCCAGCTCTTCACAGTTTTAGGCACTGCTTCTCTCAGCCAAAACTTTCCGGGATATAAAAAAATACTCTCAATATGCTGTGAAATGCATTGTGTTTCTCCTGTTAAAAATACACCAGTGGAAGCCGGTGGTTCTCTTTTTCACTAAAAGATAAGTATATAATTGGCTTCTAAACGGTCAAAAAATCCTTACAAGGGAAATAGTTAAGTTTCCCTAACCATGGACAAGGCAAAATTTGACATAAATATAGATTGACTAGGATGTGGCATGTGGTATCTATAATTGAAGTCAAGATTGAGAGAACCTAAGAAAGCAGATTTAGCAATAACCAGTTATGGATCAACTTTGGACCTAGCTGCTATTGAACCCGGCATAAAAAAAAGTATTTCAAAACTAAAGGAGGACAAAAACCCCACTAACACCATGTATAACTAAAGACTATACAAACTCTAGACACTAAAAGCAGTCAAATCTAAATCCTATCTCGTCCATCCGCACTTCTCCATCGGGCCCCAGCCTCAGCATCTTGTGGGCCTTTCTACTGCAGGTATTTATACGCCACTTGTGCTCTTGGCTTTCCCATCAGCCCCTGCTCTTACCAATCCCAGGCCGGGGCAGTGATCACGGGTGTTTGTCCTGACCTGTGCGTCTGCAATCTCGCTCCCAAAGCCGGGATTAGGGAACAGAGCTGCGCAGAAACCCGATCTATCGCGCTCTTCCTCCTCTTATCTCTTTCTCTGATTGAGGGGCTGAACTGTGGCGGCAATCGCTTAACTCGTCACGGGCAAAGAATCTCAGGCCGACCCCAATTCATCCTCGTTTTACAGATTTGCGTTGGGAAAATACGTCGACTATTGTTATACATTTATTTCATTTTTTATTTGCGTGTGTTTGAAAAGGCAAATACAGCAGACAATAAACCACACAGGGTTTGCATAATGGTGACGATCTTTAGCCTAACCTTTTCGGTCTGCGAATCAGTCAGATTTCAAAATAAGAGACCTTTGTGTGTGTTCTATAGTGGGGAATTTTCTGTGTTGCAACACACATACAGGACAATCGTAAAGGCAAACATGTAGCACACAAAATATACAGAGATAAGTATGTAAAAACTTCTTAAATTTGGATTGAGGGGCAGAAGTATAGGCCAGTCAAGCACTTTTTCTTTTCTTTTCTTGATTGTCATGTTGACTAATGACTGAAGAAGAAGAAACAGCTCAACAGGCAGAAGCAAAAATGAAGTTCACTTGAAAAATAGACGAAAAGTAATGTTTAAAATGTGTCAAATTGGGCAAAATGCATCTTGTACTCATATTTATTTATAAACTCGAAATTTATTCAAAAACCACTTTATTCAAGCTAATACTAATTATCACTTTTTGCAGTGTTGTACAAGGAACATGCACAATCCACGGTTGAATCTCTCCTTCCCTCTCTCTATTTTGTTTTTTACTATATCTTATAAGTTTTCTTTTGTTTGAATAAATGCACACAGGGGAAATATTTAAATGATTATATTTTCAGTGTTATAATTACCACTTCTCAGCCAATATTGTAATTGGACAGTAGACACGACTTACAATTTCACATAAAAATAATAAAAAGTGCCATTTTAGTCACTAATTATACAGTTTTCTCATGTGGATTTATGTGGTTATAAACAGCACTAATTGGAAAAGGAGGCAGTTTGGTTTGAACATACAGTACAACCGCTAAGATGCAGTCGGTTATTTTTTTCCAGACGCATTTTTTTAAATATTGTGGGAAAACGTCCCTAAACCCTAAAAGTAGTCAAGTTATCATGTGTTTTCAAATAGTAATGGAATAAACCAGATATCTATAGTAATAAATAAAACATATTTTGGAGCAGACCGATAAAAACAAACCAATGGGATTCGTTCATCCCCAACAAACCAATGGGATGAGTTTACCCCCTTCACCCTCTTCCTGTTTCTCACGAGTGCACCGGAATTATCGGATTTTCTAAAACCTAAAATGGCTGAACAGAAAATGCCAATTTCACGTTTGCCGCCCACCCCTCCCTGTTGTGAAAAAGAAAAGAAAAAGCTGGATGTTTGGTTTGGTGGAGAGAGAGGGGAGGGGGGAGTGGTTTCCAGTTGGTGCTACGGCTAAGCTAACAACATCGCTTACTGCACCTTTAAGAGCCATCCTCAGAAAAGAGTGAATGGAGTCCAAACATGTAGACGCTGATGCAACACTTTTTGAGATGGACTGCACCCATGTTACTATTTTTTTCACAGAGAGATTTCTTCATAGTTCAAGCTCGTGTGAAGCAGAGGTTATATTCTTTAAACTGCATTTTCACTGCAACAAAACTTTATATTGGTTAGTCAGATAGATTAAAAAAGCAATAAAAAACACGATCCAATCCTCTTTCCTACTTGATCTGATCTATAGATGTGACAATAGTATATATGTGAAAGCTATTGATACAATCAGACTGTTTTGAGAGCAAGCTACACCATTATTAGTTAATAAGTTTAAGATGAATAGATACTGATACCTAACCCTCACCCTACTAATTAAAATAAAAATAAAATCTCGATCTTTAACAATAGAAATAAGTATACAATCAAAATAATAAGCAAGTTTGAAGTTCTGTGTATGTTGTTGTTGTCTGGGTTTGCAGCAGTAGCAACATCAGTCATTGCAAAGTCTAAAATTGTCGTATAAATAGCCATAACTTTAACCTATAACTATAATGAATTGTCTTTACCGATACAGCCTCCCTCTGATTCATGTAGGTAGGAAAACACGGCTCTGACCATTGTCCTGCGTGTTTGGAGCGCTACCTTTTTTCACTTCCTGCCCCTCAGATCCCACTATTACCTCACAATGAGACTGAAGAGCGGAGCATTGTCTTCCAAAGTCTCAGAGGAGTCCGTAAAGTGTTGCACGGCTCAAAAGGCCGAGTCTCGACGGGAGGCCGGGTTAATCTTCGGGGCGCGTGGTGCTGTTGTGTTTGTGCAGGGTTTTGTTCATCCAGGCTTTTATTATCGGAGATGTTGGTGGGCAGCAGCTGTGAGAGAGAGAGCGGTGGTGGTGGTGGTTGTGGGTGGTAGGCACGACTCGGCTCAGTCCGTTTGACAATAGCTGCTTGGGTTTTTTGTTTATTTTCGACATTCTATTTTGTTTTTGTCTCTTTTTGCTTAGTTAGGGTGCGTTCGCTGTTTGTGCTGCGGTGAAAACATGATCTAATGATGCCCAGGGACATCAAAGTGAGCCGTAGTTCTACTTTTATCCCAAATAAATCTGAAAAAAAAACTCCCATGAGGGAAAAAGAAACACTCGCATAAAATAGATGTGTTATTTTTGCGCACATTTAGTTGTTTTCCGTCGTAATTACATCAATATGTGTAAAATCAACACATTTTCCCAACAACTTTTGCCGATTCTGAGAAAACTTTTATTCTTTTGCTTCGACAACTATGTAATAAAATCCATGTAGCTAGTTTCTCGCTCTCAGAACAGTTGGATCATTAGTTTGCCTTTGTGACACGTAGCAAGGCACTCAAAGCCCTTCACATCAATGAAGCAACCACTCACACACACACACACATTCATACAACAGGGTACACAGGAACTGGCGGGATAAGTGTCTTGCCCAAGGGCATGTCGAGAAATGAAGACAAGGCAACGACCATGAGGAGCACAGGGACTGGACTCCTGCTGGTCCCAGAGTCAGAACTAAACATGGGGAGGACGCATTTCAGATTCATGCTGCTAAAATTGGGAAAAATCTTTCAGAAAATGTGAGACAGGCCATTTAAATGTTTCACACCAGGTTAACCAGGCCGAAACGTTAATAAATACTAGATCTTTTGGACATCTATCCGAGTGTGCTGTGTATTTTCCACATTTAAAAACAGTTCTGTCTATCTGTGCATATTATATTCTTATCTTTCTTTTGAATGTACTTGGATTATTTAGGATTTTAATATCTTGTCTTGTTCAGCACTTTGAGTTGCCTTGTGTATGAATTGTGCTATACAGATAGACTTGCCTTTGCCATTGCACCTGTACATGGTGTATTTCCCAGTCCCTACAGATCGACCAAGAGGAGACGAGGCTTTTTATATGATTTGTGCCAATGTGCATAAGAACACAGACGTCATCACTTGAGATATAAATGATTCATGCTTAAGCTGTAGATACTGAAGTAACAAAGTGGGCCAAACAATGACGTACAGTGCTTTAGATAATAATATATCGCTTTAATACAGATATAACAGGGGACCACAGTACAAAAATGCACACACTTGACCAGATTTCAAGAAGAAGGTCCTTTATCCGTGCCGCAATGGGAAAATTTCAGTTTGATGCATAAACACATGCACATCAAGGCAAGCAGCGACCATCACTTCCGCACTCCTTATAGGCAAAGTGGGTTAAGTGTCTTAGCATACATCAGTGGAGAAGATCCCGTGGTGGGCTCAAACCCAAGACCTTCGGGCTCAAAAGCCAATGCTCTACCAACTGAGCCACTGTCGCCATTGGGTTAGTGACCAGTGACGTTTTATGCCAAGAGCAGGATTTTAACAACCAACCTTCAGCTCAGACCACACAAACTCAACCAACTGTGTGTCTTCTTACTGTCGCTGTCTTCATCAGCGTCATCAACCTTTTCAGGCAGAAAAAGCTACCTCACAGCCCAAAGAGTCAATTA